CATATGATGGTCTACAAGACATCATTCAGAATTTAAAGGAAAGGGGCATTATACGCCCAGTGCACAGTTCGTATAATAATCCGATCTTGGGGATTCTGAAACCTAATGGACAATGGCGTTTATGCGCTGACTTACGACAGCTAAATAAACGCGTCTATATGTCTGGTTGGCCAACGCCATACATAGACCAATGTTTGGTACAAATGCAGGGATCCAAAATATTCACTGCCATTGACTGTGCGCAGGGATATTGGACTGTACTAGTCCATAATGAAGACCAATACAAATTGGCCTTCACATTTGGAAAGCAGCAGTATACCTGGACCCGTATGCCTTTCGGTTATATAAACTCTGGTCATGAATTCGCTGTGTTTATGCATAAAGCTATGCCTGACGCACTCGAGAGAGGAACGTTATCATATGTCGATGATGTCTTGCTGAAAAGCACTTCCTTTGATAAGCATATCTTAGAGATTAGACATGTTCTCACTCAGTTGAGAGAGGCAGGGATTAAACTGTCTTTACAAAAGGCGCAATGGTGTCGCACCCATGTCAATTTCCTTGGACATGAGGTAACTTCTGAAGGATTAAATCCCCAGAGGAAGAAGGTTGAAGCCGTACTAAAGGCTAAAACACCTTCAAACATCAGGGAATTAAGATCGCTCCTTGGTATGACTAATTACTCCCGTAAGTTTATAGATAACTATGCAGAAATAACTAAACCACTCTTACACCTGCTTAAAAAGGAAACTACCTGGAACTGGGGGGAGCCTCAGGACCAAGCGGTAAGTGAACTGAGGAGGAAGCTCACTCAGGCACCCCGTTTAGCATACCCAGAGGGGGGTAAACCCTTCTATCTGGAGACAGGATATACCGATTTAAGCATAAGTGCTGTTTTGTATCAGAAGCAGGACAGTTTAAACAAAGTTATTGCATATGCTAGCAAGACTTTGTCACCTGTTGAAGTTAAATTCAACACGTGTGAGAAGGCGTTATTGTCGACTGTCTGGGCACTACAAAATTTTCGTAGCTATATCCAAGGTGAGAAAATAATTGTAGAAACAGCTCACCAACCTCTACAGTATCTGCAGAGTGAAAGAATTAGAGACGGTAATCTCTCTAACAGTCGGATTACTGCATGGACTCTATCCTTACAGGGATGGCCGTTAGAAGTCCGTTATAAACATAATAAGAGAAGCCCAGTTGCCCAAGGTTTAGCAGAATTACATGACTGTACTGCTCCATCTCTGGATGATAATGACACCGGAGATGACTTCCTAGAAGAGCAATTGCTATCTCCTTATAAAGTTTATGACGAGGAATACTGTCGACCACTACCGTGGGTATACATTGATGGTTGTTCATATCACCACGTAGTTGGTACTGAACGGAAGTTAGTTGCAGGTATCGGAATCGCCTGGACAGGTGATTATCCCAATGTATCTATAGGATACAATATTGGTCCCAAAAGCAGTCAGATAGCCGAACTCTGTGCAGTATATAAGACCATTCAAATGGCAATAGAATATGGTATCAAAGAATTTGTTATTATAACTGATTCCAACTATGTTCGCAACAGTTTCATCGAATATCTGCCTAGCTGGAAACGTAACCAAATGCTGAAAAGCAATAACAAATCTGTTAAACATGGGAAATTGTTTTGTAAAATCGATGAACTGGTTAAGGGAAATGGTTTATCCATATATTGGAAGAAAACCAAAGGCCATTCTAAAATAGAAGGTATTGACAAGGATGGTAATGACTTAGCCGATTCACTGGCAAAACAAGCTGCCATCGATGGTGAAACCCTAAACATTGATGATCTTATGGGTTCAATTCATGTTGAAGCCATAACTAGACGACAGGCTAGAGATAATGCCGACTTAAACGTCGTGCAATGGAGTCAAGAAGCTCCTAGTGAGGACCTGATTACCAGTCAAAAGAATGATCCCGTCATAGGCATATTCTATAAACATATAGAAGACCCTACTGCCAATCCCATCACAGATGAGGATTGCAAAGATAATGAAGATTTACGAATCTTGATGAGATATAAAGTCCAATTTAGTATCATGGATGGGTTACTGGTCAGAACTTCTAAACATGGTATACAACAATGGGTAGTCCCAACTGTATACAGAGGGTTAATGCTCCAACACGCACATGATGCACCTACATCTGGGCATCGTGGTGATAAGATCACATATGAGATATTGCGTGATTATGCATATTGGCCACACATGTTAAGGGATGTTAAGACATACTGTCAGGGATGCTTGATTTGTCCGCAATATCAACCCCATGGTCCAACCCATCGTGCACCACTTCAGAAGAGGGGGGTGTCATTACCCTGGTCTGATATTCAAATTGACTTTATAGGTCCTGTAACAAGATCTTCAAGAGGTAACAAATACATGTTAACCGTTACATGTATGTACACAAAGTGGATAGAATGTTTGCCTTGTAAAGAGAACACGAGTACCGTGTGCGCCACTTTGTTGATTAACCATGTCTTTTCCAGGTTCGGTCTGCCTCAAAGAATTGAGTCAGACAGAGGTAGTCATTTTACCAGCGAAGTAATGGCTAAGATGTGGAACATTCTAGGTGTTAAACGAAAGCTACATATTGCATACCGCGCTGCGTCTAGCGGGGGGGTAGAGCGATATAACCAGTCTATCGTTAATATTCTAAAGAAATATGTTAAGGAGTCTGGTAAAGACTGGGACATTAAATTGCCCCTAGTTTTAATGGCGATTAGAGCCACACCTAGCACTGCTACCAAATTGTCACCTTTTGAATTGATGACAGGAAGAAAGATGGTTTTACCACAGCATTTACTATATCGTACTTCAGATCATAACTTGATCAATGCTGCCACTACGCATCAGTATATTGAAGATTTGCGCAAGCATTTACAGCATGCATTTGCTTTTGCTCAAAAGAATCTAGAAAAAGCAGCGACAGGGGTTAAGACCTATTACGATCTAAAAACCACGAAAAAGGAATATGAGATAACAGATCAAGTCTATCTGTATAACTTTGCGCGAAATCAAGTAAAGGAAAATAAATTTTTACCTTCTTGGAAAGGGCCATATGTCATTATTGACAAACTTTCCCCAGTAGCGTACAAGATAAAAATTCCTAAGGATGGTGATTTTATTGAAAAGTGGGTTCACATTAACCAGTTGCGTGCTTGTCATCCTAAATCTCAATTAAGGATTATAGGTGTGGATTCGGACGCAGAAGGGTGAACGACTAACCTGGATGAATGCTTGATTCACGTGGTATAGTATGATGTGAAATGTTGTGATGTGCCATGATCTCATGTACGTTCATGTCATTAACCATTTCCTTGCCATCCAATAACTACATTTTATAAGCAGGTTACTAGCTTGTTTAACTGCTATAGGCAAATTGCTGAAGAGTCAGTAATAAATGTAGTGAGGGATGAAGTTATAAAAATAGAATTAGAGAGAATACATATGTTGATGAATCGTAATAATGTGTTGTCCTAGGCCAAGTGATGTCACACTGTTATAAGTTTGTATGCTTAACAAACCTTGAATCATTAGTAGATAAGTCTGAAACGAGTTCCTGATCCGTGACTGTCGAAAGATGTCCAAGAAGGATGTGGCGTGTTTCTGGATCGTACTGCTCCTGTGCCAAGAGCTACGGACCGACCCGATCGCAGAGATGGGACCATCCTCCGGCATCCTGATTCAAGAGACACCAGGGTTCATCTTAACAGAGAAGAGGATCCTGACCAGACGTGTGTTCGTCAGCTTGGACCCCAAGATTTCCATTGAGAAGGCATACAACATTTCATCGATGCAGCTTCCTGAGTTACGGACTTGGTACCAGATGCACCTCCAAAGAGCACAGGACCGTGTGCGAAACATCTTGGAGCAAGCCCGGAAACCATTTGTATCCAGTACTATTTCGATGAGCAACCGACCCAAAAGGTTCCTCACCGCCATAATTGTTGCATTAGTTTGTGCCACTGTCGGTGCAGTTGTCGCAACTGGAATGTCTGCAGCCAACTCTATTACTGTCCAAAAGCTGGATATGGAAATCTATGCGCTAAAGCAACACATTAACGATATTCATCAGGTGATACAACAGCAAAGAACACTTCTCCAAGACGTGTTAACTATTGTGGAAGACACAGTTGTTACAACAAATTTGCATTCAGAGTTAATTGCCAAATCCACTGAGTTGCACCAAAGTCATGACTTATTCAAGCGTGAACTTTTATTTCTGCATGACCCAATACTGTTCCACACACTTGCTTTTCTTGACGAAGTGCAAACTGGAATGATCGAATTGGCAGGGGGACGCATACCTCTGTACTTTGTATCCAAGGATATTGTTCATGCGATGCTTGCCAATGTGGATGGAGAGACAATTGAGCCTATGCAATTAAATCTGGCCTTTGAGATGGGGAGCGCTATACCTCTCTTAATTAATCCGGAACGTATGGAGATTTGCTTTTTATTGGCCATACCATATGTAACTCCCAAAGACATTTTTCAAATGAAAACAATGTACTATGTAATAATGATATTATGGTTGAAAACTTTTACAGGTACAAATATATACAAAAATGTTCATTCCACGCACGGGCCTATGTTAGAAATGATGTGATTGCAAAATATGTCTAGTAACTTCTATAGTGCTTATTCATAAGCTAAATTAATTTTGGCTATGAAATGCACTAAAGGGGGGTTATGTCAGAGTATTTATATCGGCAGACATTTTGTGCTATGATAGAAACTAAAAGTGTATATTCTGAGTCACTCTGAACAGACCAGACTCCATTTTGTTATTTCAAGTTAACAGAAAGACACTATATTTCTATCTGTAAGCTAACCACTTTCCCAGAGCTGAGGAATGCATAGTATATACAAGCCAAGTGATAAGGAAGGGGGTTGGACAGACTGTCTAATGCTAAAAGAATATAATCAAATCTAAACCCAGACAATTGTGACAGAGAAGATTAAATTTAATATTTAACTGTCTATACATATAAGGTACCATTGTATGGAAAAGGGTAAACTTAGTTCATGATCTGTCATATCAGAAATTATAGCAGATTTGCAGACACATAGTCTGGACAAAATTTAAGAACCCCTTTGATCTTTGAAGGATACGTAAGTTATAGCCACTATCTAGATAGGCCAAAATGACGTCAAAATAGCCACCAGGAAAAGTTAACTCTTTCCTGATAGGTATGTTTAGTGGGACAAGACTGCCCTCTACAGACCAAATAACTAATTTGCGATCTGGAAGATAACCACACCTCTAGTGCTTCTATTGGGTTATCAACTGATGACGTACAGAGAGTCTGGCCCTTTAAAAGTTAGGACAAAGGGAAGATAGAGATATACGAAAGAAGAAGGCAGATGCAAGATATGCAAAGGAGAGGAGAGAGGAATTGGAAGTTTGGGAACTCCAACTCGGACAACATCTGAGACTAACACTCTACTCCTAAAACTCTAACACTTAGAATTTACTGACTTTCTAACCAACACCTCCATGCAGAGAGACTACCAATCGGATGAAATATCTACTCAACTGGTAATTATACTGGTTTCATTTAATTAAATTAAATTAATTAAAATGTATTAATAGCATTATATATGACTGGATAAAGCACGGTCAGATTTCCATATTAAGAAATCTTAGTTAACTAAGAATATATAGTTATAAACATTCCATTCTGCAGGTGGAATTAAGAATAATTATATATTGATGTGATATTATCACGTGTTAGCATACCGCTGTTTTTATCCAGGTGTATTGATTTGCTCTAAATTAAGATAGATATCTTTTAGACAAATTAAAAATCTGCTTATATAATGTTAGATTCTCTTATTGGATGTTTTAAGAAAATGAATTTAAACTGGATTAAATGTTATTTTATTTAAATGACATCAGAATAGATCTTAACTACCTAGGAGATCTAGCCAGCATTGAAAGGGTTATTCTAACTGTCGGCTAAACTTTACGACCTTACGCTGCACTCTGAGGAATTCTGTCTTCCCTGTGAAAAGTTTCACTTTCAGCCTGTGTTAAAGATAGTCATAAATAATTCTTGACAGGAAATGCTATTTAGCCATTGTAACGTAATACCCATTTCTTTGTATTGCATATAATTTTGTACTGGATATTCATTGATTATTGTTATGCATGTTACATAATATTATTTGTTAATTATTGGTTATCATAAATAAAATCTATTTTTATACATTGTGATATTAATTATATGAAATACATTCCACTTAACACGATAAACGTTCTTTGGGATCTGAGAATTGAATTAGTGGGCAATTCTCAATTGTTACTATTATTATCCCATAAATATCCCCACACTATTGTATATCTATATACTTTTACACTTGCTTTTGTTTTTATCTCCCTAGTGGAGCTTCTTTTTATTTTTTTGCAATTAACAAAACCTATATTTAATTCAACATCCTCCAGGACCATCTGTTCCATGTTGATCTACACTTAAAGGGGGTTCCTTGCAACTGCTTATATTGGCAAGTAGGTGCACAAACTTGGAGACAGTCATTTATGGGCTCCAGAACCAGGTGAGCAACTTCTATTTTTTTCTTACAGTTGTGAACCAATAATAATTTTTTACCATCTGCACTATCCCTGCCGCTTGCTTATGTCATCCATGTGCATACATCATATCCGAACTTGTGAAGGGGACTAACAAGGAGGTTGCTGTTGCTACCTTAAAGGCACAGCAAGCACATACATTCAGAGCCATAGCGTCTAAAAGACTCTTGATTTGTGAGCATAAATTTTCCTAATTTATATTGTATATACCGGTTATTTATAACAGTATTGTACTATTCCATATTTCTCTTTTTTTTTTAATTCTTTATTTTGTTCGTGCAGAGGTTAAACATGTGGATTTGCACTGCCACAACAGCTGGTGCATCCAGGTTTGTATTCACGCTTAATTACATGGCATTATAGAGAAACATTGCACTTTTATTTTTAACAGGTAAGTAAGCAGGCTTATTTCATAGGCTAAATAAAGACAACGGGAATCATTTGCTTGGATCACAGATACAGTTGCAAGAAAAAGTATGTGAACCCTTTGGAATGATTTGGGTTTCTGCACAAATTGGTCATAAAATGTGATCTGATCATCATCTAACTCACAACAATAGACAATCACAGTCTGCTTAAACTAATAACACACAAATAATGAAATGTTGCTATGTTTTTATTGAACACACCATGTAAACATTCACAGTGCTAGTGTAAAAAGTATGTGAACCCCTAGACTAATGACATCTCCAAGAGTTAATTGGAGTGAGATGTCAGCCAACTGGAGTCCAATCAATGAGATGAGATTGGAGGTGCTGGTTACAGCTGCCCTGCCCTATAAAAAACAAATACACACCAGTTCTGGGTTTGCTTTTCACAAGAAGCATTGCCTGATGTGATTGATGCCTCGCACAAAAGAGCTCTCAGAAGACCTACGATTAAGAATTGTTGACTTGCATAAAGCTGGAAAGGGTTCTCCAAAAGCCTTGCTGTTCATCAGTCCACGGTAAGACAAATTGTCTATAAATGGAGAAAGTTCAGCACTGCTGCTACTCTCCCTAGGAGTGGCCGTCCTGTAAAGATGACTGCAAGAGCAGAGCACAGACTGCTCAATGAGGTGAAGAAGAATCCTAGAGTGTCAGCTAAAGACTTACAAAAGTCACTGGCAAATGCTAACATCCCTGTTAGCGAATCTACAATTTCATGGGAGGATACCACAGAGGAAGCCACTACTGTCCAAACATAACATTGCTGCACGTTTACAGTTTGCACAAGAGCACCTGGATGTTTCACAGCAGTACTGGCAAAATATTCTGTGGACAGATGAAACCAAAGTTGAGTTGTTTGGAAGAAACACACAACACTATGTGTGGTGAAAAAAAGGCACAGCACACCAACATCAAAACATCATCCCAACTGTGAAGCATGGTGGTGGGGGCATCATGGTTTGGGGCTGCTTTGCTGCGTCAGGGCCTGGACAGATTGCTATCATCGAAGGAAAAATGAATTCCCAAGTTTATCAAGACATTTTGCAGGAGAACTTAAGGCCATCTGTCTACCAGTTGAAGCTCAACAGAAGATAGGTGTTGCAACAGGACAATGACCCAAAGCATAGAAGTAAATCAACAACAAAATGGCTTAAACAGAAGAAAATACGCCTTCTGAAGTGGCCCAGTCAGAGTCCTGACCTCAACCCGATTGAGGTGCTGTGGCATGACCTCAAGAAAGTGATTCACACCAGACATATCAAGAATATTGCTGAATTGAAACAGTTCTGTAAAGAGGAATTGTCAAGAATTGCTCCTGACTGTTGTGCACGTCTGGTCTGCAACTACAGGAAACGTTTGGTTTAAGTTATTGCTGCCAAAGGAGGTTCAACCAGTTATTAAATCCAAGGGTTCACATACTTTTTCCACCTGTACTGTGAATGTTTACATGGTGTGTTCAATAAAAACATGGCAACATTTCATTCTTTGTGTGTTATTAGTTTAAGCAGACTGTGCTTGTCTATTGTTGTGACTTAGATGCTGATCAGATCACATTTTATGACCAATTTGTGCAGAAATCCATAACATTCCTAAGGGTTCACATACTCTTTCTTGCAACTGTAGGCTTCACCTAGTAGTCACAATAAGAGTAAAGATCAGTCTAGGACAAGGCATTATGAAACTGAGCTATCCCAGTATCTGACTACACATGGTTATGCAGTTAAAGTAGTTTTAAGTGTGCTACTCTAGGTGAGAGTAAAATAAAATGAAAATTAATAACGAGTAGGAACAGGCTAGTTCCACATGTCTAAGCTGGAAAACACATTTATGTTAACTCAGAGAGGCTAGCTAGACATGGTGGTTAAAGCACAGTAAAATGTTGCTAGTCGTAGTAGTGTTTCAGGAGTAAGGAGACACTAGGGTCAGGGTCACTGTCTTCTTGACCCTCAACACGCAGTCTTGTCTCGTGATTGGAGGGGACAGCTATACTCACACTGGGGATTGCTATGCTCTGCTTACTCCCTTGAGCTTTCAATCACTTAGTTCTTTTAAGAGCTTGTTCCTGATATGCTCTCCTGGAGGAAAGGTCTTTCCCACACGGTCCTGGAGGACAGAAGCTGATCGAGCTTGGTTGCTTCATCTAAGTGCTGCTTCTAAGTGTGTGGTTGGAGATATTCTGGAGAGTTTTACAGAAGCTTCAACTGTCTAAGAGTTTGCTAAGAGTTTTCTTTTCTACTGTTACAGGTAAGATTTATCTGTAGGAAAAGGTTACTGATTGCACAAGGTTTGAATTCCTGTTGGTAATTATAAGGCATTTGATTTGATTAGCTAAATACTTACTATTGATTGCTAGTTAATTAGCTATTGTTTGCAAATAAGCAGAGGCATACCCAGGTGTTAAACATTCCTAGTGTGTGGTGATTTTAAGAGTTATATAAGGGCTGTTGTCATTAGCTTGGCTAATATAGCTTGGTTGTTTCATCTAAGTGCTGCTTCTAAGTGTGAGGTTGGAGATATTGTGGAGATAAACTGGAGGTAATCTGTGGTAATCAGGAGGACTAAAAATTTAAGACTTGTTTGATTTAAATT